GTATACAAGTATGCTCATGGTTTGTACAAGGTCCCAGAAGGATTACTAGAATTTGAAACAAGAACCAACACCAGGGGCCACAGCTACAAACTAAAAAAACTGCGGTGTAACTTATCCACGCGACAACATTTCTTCTCGCTTCGAGTCACCAACATGTGGAACAGCCTCCCTGACGATATTGTTGACGCTCCTAGTATGAACACGTTCAAGAACAGACTAGACAAGGCCATGCATGAGCATATGTTTAGTCTTAAAATGCCTCGGATCCTACGGAACAACTGAAATCTAGAAGCGATTTGAAATCTACCGTCCGTTGAAAAGATTTGATCAAGAGGCCAGTCTAGACAAGAAAAGTACAAGAATCGGCGACAGGCCTATCCAGGCCTATTCTTCAATGCCGAAGATACTATACTATACTACTACTACTATACCATATGATCACCGCCTTGACGCTAGCACAAAGAGACATTCGTGTTCATTGACAACCATGTGCTATACTTATTCCTCAATAGAACAATTTTGTTCGATAAACATAGCACTGACTTGGCGCGAAACGTCGTAATCTAGCGACGTTCAACTGCCCCAACTGTTATTTTTCAATATATTAAATCAGTGTTGTATTTTTTCTACGTAACTAAGTGGCCGCTCTCCCTTCAGTGCATCGGCACAAGCTGGTACATTGGAGCAGACTTGCAATTGCACCTCGTCGCCCCCTTCATCCTACTGCCAATGAAGCTCCTGGATTACAGTAAAATTTGTAATTTAAGTTACACATTTCATTCTGCTTTCACTAAGCATACCAAAGACGGAGACATCGAAAACTATTTATTCGAATAACTATAATGTGCTATTATGCTATATTCCACTTATTTTAACATACAACTCCCTTCTTTAGATATTATTTGCATTAATATATCTTCGCGACGAAGAAATTGTAGCGAGACAATAGTGTTCCGCACGCTAAGCGTTTGTTTGTCATTCGTCTTTGTTGACCTGATTGTAATTCTGGAGAATTGGTCAAATAATTTGAGGTTATACAGATGATCGATAATAATGTGATTTAAACGCATGATTACATGCTATATATATTGAACATAACATTAGGTATCGCATCTGTATAACCGATCATTATGGTGGAGTTTGCGATAGAAGCTTGCGTACCTCCGAAACTTTCTCTTCACTATATTTCTGACGGTAGCAAGGAAGACCATAGCAATTTTCAATTTCAAATACACTTTTAATTCTGGATATAGCAACCCTGTAATTATTAAGGCTGCGGCCACTTTAGATTACTGAGGACGCGTAAGCAGTGCACTTGAATCAAGCAGTAAGGCCGCCTTTTTCTGAGCAGAAACTGAATAATAAACCTATTTAATTTTTCTGGATAATTGGAAATCTTTCACAGTAACCGGGATAAATCTTTTGATCAAACACAAATAATGTTCAAACTATGTGAAATTTCTCAGTAGAAGAGGTATCCAAAAGTTATCATTATCACTTCAACGTATTATTAATTATTAGAGTATTATCATTTATATTACAATAATTATTATCTACTGATGTTGCTAACATTCTACTTCACAGAGTTGCTGTACCTTCTCGTTTTGGTGATCGTTTTTTCGGTTGTAAAAGGAAGCTTGGTCGTCGCCCATGGCCTCATCCTCGCCCCTCTGCTAGACGCCTCGTAAGCTGTATTTTAATTCTGTCCTCAGCAGACCTTGACTTCCAAACTTGAGGCTTCGTGAGCGGATTTTATTCGGTCCTAAATAGGCCTTCAGTTCCTCACTTGAGGCTTTATGAGTGGGTTTTATTCGGTCCTAAATAAGGCCTCACTTCCCCTCTCGAGGCTTTGTGAGTGGGTTTCATTCGGTCCGAAATAGCGTTTTATTCGGTCCTCAGCACATTCCCTCTTGAGGCTTCGTGAGTGGGTTTTATTCGGTCCTAGATAGGCCCTCATTTTCCCTCTTGAGGCGTAGGCTTTTTTCTTATTAAGACTTATTAATGTTCCCCCTCTTTTTTTGCGTAGGTTTTATTCGGTCCAAAACTTCCCCTCTTTAGGCTTCGTGAGCGGATTTTATTCGGTCCTAAATAGCTTTCATTTCCCTACTGAACGCCTCTTCGGTGGTGCTTTATTCAGCCTCAAATAGACTTCCACATCCATGCTTGAAGCTTCGTGAGTGAACTTTCTTCGAGATATTTTGTTTTCACGTGCACAATGAATGCCATGCTATCCATTATGAAACTATCATGGTAGACGGCTATCATGTTTCAGCGCTTATACAGTGACATGCATATACTAATCTTTTAAAAATCCATGGATGATTTTTCAAATTTCACGACATGATTTATGGGCAAGAAACGTGTGCACGATGACCTGATACATTCGTTGTTATTCGTGTCAGTCCTTCAGAGATGGACGCGTACAACTCATTCGTGTCCTACACTCCGTACGTCCGGGCGGCGCCCTTCTTCGTTGGTTCTTTGTACGCCATCACACCAATGCACGTAACTATGCGCCACCAATGCACGTAACTGTGCGCCAGCAACATACATGACGATGCATGACTGAAAAGCTTTAAATTATATGAAAAATTATCGGTAATTCGTTTTCTAATGAAAATTTTACTCCAAAGATTTATAATTTAATTAATTTCTGATGTATTTCGTCAATCAAGACTCTAAAGTTGAGTAAAGTTTGGCTTACATTTTAAACACCATATAACTGCTGTCAAACTTCTAGTTAGTATCTGACTGTTCTGACTGTTTCATTGACGTTCATGTTTATATTTATTATTAACGTTCATTTTATATTATTATTGACGTTCATGTTTATATTGTCCACATTGCAGCATCAACGCCTTTGTGTGCACTTAATCTAATGTCTGACGAATATTTACTACAGGCAAATATTAATGCATTGGAAGCTACATTTATTATTCGTTACAGACTGGACAACTTGCCCGACTGAAGTGGCTGCAGCTTCTAAAGAATAAGGTATAATATTACAGAAAATATTATTATTTCTAAATATATTATTATTCGTTGTCAGAAATATTGTTCAAAATATCGTCACTAAAAAACATTTTATTCTTCACATTATTCTTCGCACAGGAATGTTATTAAAAATTTATCAGTATTAAACGTATTAATATTCTTAATATTAAGTCATAAACTTCATTATTTTGTCATGTGAAACATACATTTCTCGGACATTCATTTACTGATGTCGCGCGCTGCAATTAATTTTTCTGCAAAATTCCTACCTTTCTTCAAAATATTTCTTGTTAATTACCTGCTGCTCTTAGGTTTCAATTCATATAATTTGGGTGCAATTTTTGTAAGTCTTTATTATGCCATTATCGGTAGCAGACTACCGACAGTAAAGAAAGTATTTTTCCTATTCACGAAGGGTTATGTGAAGCATATTATGATATGAGCTCCATATCATCATGCATCTTCGTTTTTTAATGCGTTTCTATGATTGTGATCACAATTATTAATGCCGCAATTATTCCCCTTAAATTTATAAGCTGCTATCATTATCATAAAGAATTGAATTTACTTGCATCCTTCTGACGTTTCTGGGACGTTCGTTGGCACGTCCACTCGAGTAATAATGATCACAATCATTAATTGGAAATAGATTAAGCATTTTCTATTAGACTAACTTTATGTAGTGAACATTAAGGACAGTGAACATTAAGTGAACATTAAGTATGTTCATTATTGCGAACATTAAGGATAAGCCAAGCCTCGGCTGAAAACCATGCAAGTGCTGGGCAGGGTGGTGCAATGGTTACAGTTCAGAGTGGCAAGATTGGAGCAGTGAGTTGTCGGTTCGACCACAGCTACCTGCGACAGTCCTGGTCAAAATCGTACGGTTAAACACAGCGAAATTAGAGCAGTGGGTTGCATGTTCGGGACAGGCAACAATTAAGCTGTGAAAATCCTGTGTTTTCAGAATTCGCCACATATGTAATGGCCTAATCAACGGTGACACTGCTATCACTATTACTAACTGCGGCAGGTGATGCAGATGTCGAGGTGGTTGGTGTTTGTAGAGACTTGTGGCCGCTGTGGTGTTTGGGCTCTCAGGCAGGAACTGCTACCACTTACAGGTGGTGCGTATGGTGGGGTGGTTGGTGTTCGCCGTGACAGCTGCGGCGCTGGTATTCGGTCTCTCAGGCAGGAACTACTACCACTTACTGGGCGCCACTCATTCCTACAGCGATGTAGAGTCGTTCTTCTACGCGAGTTTCTCGTCGACGGCGTGGGCGATATGCGTGGGCTGGCTGGTGCTCACGAGCTACTGTGGATGTGGAGGTGGGTTCGAATGTCGAGATGGGTGCAATTCTCTAATCGTTTTGCACAAACTCACATCGATTCCGCCGATGCAAATCGATAAGCTTATCGCCTCTGTTACCAAAACTGATTACGATAGAAATTTCATTCGATTATTTGTACTCATTCAGTTGCTGCATGTCAATCCAACATTGCTGAAGATCTTTGGTATAACAATTAGCAGTTTAACCTGGCTTTTCTGGGTAACCAAATGTTTCTCAATAACTCCGGCCGTTAATCATGAACCATCTTCTTATCGAGGCAATGCATGGTAGCATGGATGCCATTTTAGACAGATGTGTCTACTTAGTTATAGTTTTAGAAAGCTGTAAATATCTGGATATTGTAAAGTACCTCTTTTGTCCTGAACATCTCGACTCGTTTCGCCACCATCCCGAATCCCCACTGAATGCTAAAAATTGTCTTTTTTTGTCGCTGATCGGAACAAAGCTCAATGGATCAACTCGTATTGAATAAAAAAATAATGAGACGTAGATGTTTACTTTGGATTCACCCGCAAGTTCGGAACAACAGTGAATGTGTTTTCGCGCACATAGGCTCATTATCTCATCTTACTTCTCATGTTGCAGGAGGCTTGGGCACTCTGCTTTCTCATCCTGTCTGGGTGCTGCCTAGCCGGGTGACGTACTCAGTCTTCGTGCTCTCACTACCGTTTCATCTCATGATCTCCTACTCCGTTCACCGCTTCTTCTTCGTTTCAACTTTCTCTTTCGTGAGTGGCCATGTTGTTTTCTACCAGAGTTCATCTTGTTATCGTCGTTGTGTTTGAAATCTAACCCTTCTTAGGAACAACTCAGGTAGCGGACGAGTCAGGACGGTAAAAAGAAAGGAAAGGTCAGTGGAATAGTAGAGGAAGAAAAAAGGAGATCTCCCCAAATGGGCTTTGCCGCTAGAAGACAGGTGAACCGTGGGACGAACAAATGTAGAAGAAGAGATGAGATTTTGGAGAGGATCTCGGCTTCCGGCGACTGCCATCTAAACGATCACTGCTTCACTAAACGAGTAAGATTCTAAAAAGTTGGTAAAATTCTAGTAAACTTTATTGTCCTAAGAGAATCTGGGTCAGTGTTAGGCGGACTGGGCGGTAGAGTATGCCTTCCTCGAAAAAAAATCCGGGACGAGGGTAAGGGCAGCTACGACGCTGTAGTTTTCGGATGTCCTAGCGGATGTGCGTGGGTATTTTTCTTCTAAAGACCGAATGTCCTCCGCAAACTGAGAGGCAACGAATTAATCGAAATAAGATCGCATTGTAAGCGTGGCTATGCGTTAAGCGCTCTAGAGTTTGGCGTTTTTGCTCCGTAAATTGCGTCAAACGTTTCTGAATTTATCTGCATTGTGCATGGTGCCTCCATTGATGATAGCACAGCCATATTGTGTCTGTGCATAGCCAGACGCTAAATATGTTTAGTTAATGGAAGTGCCAGCCATGTTGTGTACCGTGAGCTATCTGCAATGATGAAAGTTTATAGGCAATGACCAATTGCGAGCCGTCAAATGAAGTCCTTCGTCCGTTACGTAACATACACAAAAACTCCAACATCATAACATCAGTGAAAACCAAAACTTCAAACTTTTTGTTCGTTTCCAGGTCCTGAGCTACGTTGGCATCACTGTGATATGCTTCCAGGCGGCCTTCCTTATCAGCTTGGTGGCCGAGTCACCGTACATCGCATTGTCGAAATTAGCACGCTCGCCTCGATCTTAGTTAGGATTAGCAATAGCAACCTATCGAACTATTATGTGATCATCTCAACCATTGTCTCTAGTTTTTCGTGCATGATTATCCAAATAATTGTACGTCTGTAGTTTGCCTCCTATGACATTCAGAAGCAGGTGATCTTTCGAATCGCGTTAGCCTGTGGCGGTAATTCCCCGAGATACCATCCCATGCGCAGGATTCCTAAAACCAAATTTTAACACACCTCTCGTCCATTCCTCACCATCCCCAGTACTGAACAGGCTAGAAACCAGGTTTCCCGTGTAAATACAAAAAGTAAATAACAAATTTTCGTGCAATAAATTCAGACCATAACGCAATAATTTATTTTGTAAGTGCAGGAGAAAGAAAAAACGGTTATATTTTCCTTCAATGTACTTCTTCGTTCTTTTTTCTGGTCTCGCTTATCAGAAGCCAGGACGACCGACCAAAATGATAAGAGCTTTTACGGAACACAACAGCTCAATAAGTTGACTTTCATTTAATGCTACAAAACTGTTATGTTATGTTTAATGATTGGAAATGCAATGAAACATCAACGTAAATAGCATTCATGTGTAAAATCTTACAATATTGTTATATCGTATGATTATATTTTGGATAGGATTACGTATGAAATATAAAGATCATTGCTATCTCACTCACCTGAACCGATTAACTCGCAAATGTTGTCATATAGACTGAACAATTTCATTATTTTCAAATGAATTCAATTAGAATGAATTTACATTTCCCTTGAAATTAGTCTATGATATTACACTTCAAGCCCCAATTGAATTTAGTCTCCCGTTTATTATAGGAATAATGCCAGATAAAAAGTTGGCAAGGTTTGTGCACTCGTACGTACCTCGGCATCATACTTATACGACGCATAAACAATTATTATTTGTTATTGTCCACCTTCATTTGTTGTAGGGTAAGTGGTGCTCAGTTTTATACTATATAATAAGTCAGTAAAATATATTTATTCTACGATGATTTATTTCATCGGTCCTAAGTCTGATGCCAGCTACCTAATGCATCAACTAAGGTGAATACAAAAAAATATTTTCACTTGAATACGTCAAGGACCATAATAGACACTATATGATTTAACATATTGGTTTAGATATTTAAATGCTTATTTTTCCTTTATAATCTATTTTTTTTTCATCCAAATGATCGCTCGCCGTGCTTCTTTCGTTGGTTTTCTAAGGGTGTATTTTTCAAGGTCATTTGAGATATTGAGAAATTACGTGGAAAAAGTTAACAGGAAATCGAAATGAAACTACGTTCGTATTGGAATTCGTTGAAAATCAATGACACGTCGAAGCTAAAATAAATTATATGGTGTAAAGGATATGAACACACATAAAGACGAACCATCACATTGATCATGTTCAGCACTTTACCGAGCCTGTGTTATGCCATTCATCAGTAACTATCGTAGTTAGTTTTGTTTCCGGAACTATCAGCGGACGTCGCCAACTGCCTAACTATCGACCACGCAACCAAGTGCTCCTGCGTGGACTGCGTGGACAGCACACAGGCCGTACTTTCAAAACTCGCTTGATTACACGTAGTGGCCTTGATTACACGTAGTGGCCTCGCTTGATTACACGTAGTGGCCTTGATTACACTTAGTGATCTTGTTTACACGTAGTGGCCTTGATTACACGTAGTGGCCTTGATTACACGTAGTGGCCTCGCTTGATTCCGCGTAGTGGCCTAGGTACACGTATATAGCGGCCTATAAGAACATGTAACGGCCGATTTCTTGCCTGTGATTGGTGGGTTTATCTTAAAGGCCATTAGTGTTTGGCTGCGGTGCTCACTAAAAATTTCCATTCAATTTTTTCATTACTATTCTATCCCCTACACTGGTCTGTCGCGCATCCTTCAATTACATTGTAAACACAATATAAATCAGTGAATGAATGATCTTATGATAACATTAATAGTCAAATCTGCGTCGCTGCAATGAATCTTAATTATTCTTGGTGTGATTGATTATTTGTTTCCTTAAAATGGTCAATTAGCCGCTACAAATCATGCGAACCCTTAACCCTGGAAGTTAAGTCGCCAGTTAAGACCTCGACTAAATTAGGGAATACAATGCATCACGGTCAATAATGTCAATATATGTCAATAAATTAACATTGGATGACACTGAAGTGTTTCATTTGTATGATTGCATAACCATGAAAATATCACCACACGTATATTACTAACAGGAAAACTCTACACAAAATTCAAAGTCGGGTGATGCTACTGAACGCTACTGCTATACAAGATCGAGCCAAATTGATGAAGCTGCCACCATGTTCAACATCAAGTTTATTCTATCAAGTTCTATAACTATTGCCTATTTGCTTAGTTTCTTTGACGAAAAAATCAACTTAAGCACGTGTCATAACATTTTTAATGTCGAAAGCACCATGAATATTCAGCTGCTTCATATTGTGTTCAGATCTCCTTTAAATTTGTTAGTGAAGCAAACAAGGTTGATTTCTTGATGAGTCATAAATTTTTTATTTACTTCACTTTTAATAAGCTAATTTATATCGGACGATTTCAGAACCCACTTCCTGTATGGTTATTATAACGTAATTAACATCTATTACTATTCTCCATTACTAGCACACCTTATATCAAATATAAATCACGAATCTCGAGCTCAATAAGTAAGGTAGGATTTGATCCATCATAATATGAACCTTCACCAGTATTATCACCGGGCGTCTTGTTGACAAATCAAGACTCAAGATCTGACAGCCGATCTTGACAAGATCATGACTGAATATTACCGAAAAATTTCACTGTTGGCTGGCGGTATCGAGCCAACCACTCACTGGCTCAATTTTGATTCTGTGAACATTAACTACTCAGCCACCTCATTAACTCATTAACTGCTGCATAACTAATGAGGAAACCAGACGTGGCACAGCGCCCTACCCCCTCCGGATGATGCATAGCTGTCGCCCACGCCATAGTAGCCTCCAGCGTTCCACATCATACCCGCCAAGGCGGGAAAGTTGTTGGGCTCGGCGCCCGTCCAGTCGCCGGTGCCAGCCTTCTGGCCGGCGTCGCGTTGGTTGGCGGGCCACCGCCATACGCCGTCCACTTTGTGAAGTCCCAGCCAGAATAGGGGCATTGAAGCTGGAGAACATAACGCATTACAATATTAGTATGGCAGAATGTATAAAATATTAAACAGAATATATCAGTTTTTTAATTTAAGAAAAAAAAAGATTCGACGGATTAAAGTGTAAATGTGAACATGACTTGTGAATCGAACGTTGACAAGAGAAAATTACAAGCATTATTCATGATACTCTACTTATCTGCGTATTTAAAATTAGCCGATCATTAATACTTAGGTTCCATTTCATATAATGAAAATACATTAGCCATATTCACAAAATTGTATTGCAAAGCCCATGGAAATTGTGTAAAATTCACTTACGGATTTTGATGGCGAAGTACTTCCTCATGTCGAGCACATCTTGTGAAGTCATAGGGGACGCGAGGCCCGCGCCAAGGCTCTCGCAGTAGTCGCGCGTCTGGCAGTAGTTGCCCGTGAAGCTGCTGTCGTACATGCACCCGAAAGGGTATTGGGTGAAGGGCGGAGTGCAGGACTCACGCGGCAGAGGAGCGTCTGAAATTTACAATTAGGCGCGTTTCAGCTTCTAATTTATTCGTGTCAAATGTTAAATTAACGTGACTGGCGTTGACAAGTTCAGTTTTATTTCATGCATGGTTGTTAGTGACAGACGCTCACCTTGATATACGAGTCCCCTGATGGTGCAGGTAAGATTCCTCTTGCCTCGACAGGAGGGATCAGACACGGTGAGAAACTCCCCCTCCTGTAGCAGCGTGGCGCCGTATCTGCACACTGAGAGGCGCGGTAGCGTCAGGGGACGTCACCTCGTATAAATTTTTTAACAAGTAAATATTATTTATAGTCCTTATTTTAGTGATTATTATCATTGTCTCGGAGTGTACCGAGACTTCGGAATGACTTAACAGGCACTCACGCTGGGAGTACCAGCAGGAGGGATCGCTGCCCCCACCGAGGGCGTGCGGCAGGTAAACGCTGGCGCTGAGGCAGCGCCCCGAGGGGCCGTAGCAAGCCACGTTGACGTCGGGGGACGCGTGCAGCAGACACACCAGGGCGGCGGCAGCCTGAAGTTCCGTCACGTTGGGGCTGGCGAGGACGGCGGCGCTGGCATTGCCTCCTGCCACCGCCCACTTACGACCAGCAGTCAGCGGCATGCGGCTACACAACACTACACTCACCACCAAAGTGTTTCGGACAAAAGCGAATGGTTGCATAACTGATCGTATATTTGACTGCAATAACTTCCAGCGTTTACAGACAAGCTTTTTGTATTGTCGTCGATTTATTTGCTAAGATTGGTTTCACGTGCTCCTGTGACGAACTGCGTCATGCTACTGGAAGTAAATTTGATACCGCAGCCAACATACAAAATGCCCAATCCAATTATCAAAGATCGATCAACCTCATTGAGGGCAGAATTATTAGCACTGATGAAATGATATCGCCGTGTTTAGTCGTCAAAATACCGAGCAGTGAGGTCTGCTGTACTATATTGCAGTCTCATTAAATTATGAGGTTTTGTGTTCACTCTCAGAACCATAACTATATAGATTCTCGAATCTACCATTTATAAAGATGTACGGTTGCACTTGTTGAAATAATTTTTTTCATTGCCAGTGGACGTAAGCATACGAATTTGAACGTGTTAACACAACGGGCTGTAGCTTCTCAAATGTCTTCCCATTTTTGTGCGAAAAGCAAACTACCTCTATACCAATATTCGCGGGGACGCTACTCGCTGTCATTAGTCGCGTTTATAATAAGGGGCGAATTTGTGATCACCAGGTGAGCAGAACGCGTACTGATTGGATCCCATCAATGGTTTCGCAGTCATATTAAGGTATATTCATTCAGTGCAAGAATTGGTCGTCTAAATTGATGGGCTTCGGATTCGCACAAGTTCCGAGAGAATATTCTTCGAGAAGACTCCAGTGAAATGTTTCTCTTCAGAAGAAGCAACGATCTTGCCTGTACTTCAATTACACCAGGAATGTGAATTCATCACT